ACTTACTTACTTACTACTTACTTACTTACTACTTACTTACTTACTTACTTACTTACTTACTTACTTACTTACTTACTTACTTACTTACTTAAAGCCAATTCTTATTTTAAATCTCATAGTTTTATTTAAGAGATTGTACAAGAAAATGCTTCCAGTATTTTCCAAATTTAGCAAACTGCACATAAACCTCTACTTAAAATAATTGTCCCACTAAAAAGAACCACTAAGAAGCTCTAAATGAGAAAGCAGTCTTAACTGACTGACTGAATGATTGATAGATGTTGGTCTAAAATAACGTTTTAGGTTAAATTAGAAACATTACTTAATGAAATCAACTTCCCTCATGGACTTTCCCAGCAAGCCAGCAAAAATCACTGAAAATTTCAGTCTTAGTGCAATGATGTGGCTGAGAATAAACACAGTCTAAATAAATTATATAAATAAACATTTGCTTGCATCAGTAAGTTCAATGCTGAGCAGAAAACAACAACAATAACAACAACAAAAAGAAATTATTGGATTTTTCAAAATATTAAAATTGTCATTCTTTATTTAACTTGTTGGCTTAAAAAAATTCCTGCTTAGGTTTTGATTTTTTTACGCCAGTAACAGAGCACTGTGCTAATGCACGGAGATATGCTTGCTGGGTTATTTTCTTTCCCCTKCACCTGTGTGAATCCGTCTCGAGGCAGGCAGCACCTATATCTAACCCCTGTTAAAGCCTGCATGAGCTGATTGAGCAAAAATCGCATCTTTTAATGCAGCACGGTGTCATATCACTGCCCTGCTCATGTGGACGTGAGGTCAGGGATACAGGTAAGGATTACTATTGATCCGTCACTGCAGAATCACTGCAGATACACTACCTAGCCATAAAAACGAAAGAGAGACCGCCTGGGTTTAAAGTAGTAAATTTGTGAGAGCTCCCTATTGGAAAACTTCGGCTGTGACAATTGTGTTTCAGCTTGTAAGAGATTATTTTGCTCTAAATGATGCGGTGAGCTTCTATTACCCGAAAAGCACTTCTTGTAGTTGTGGAATGATCATAATATTACCRCAGTTCCATAGAGATGGATGCTTTTAGGACAACCTCGAAAATAACGTCTGACTTCATCAGGATCATATTGTGAAAAGAGCACAAAGCAATTAGCAACCTCAGAGTTTAGGCCTTAAAGGGATCCCTGATTAGTTGTAACATTAGACTTTATTTAATAAACATGTATTTTAACTGTAAAATAATGACTAAAAATACTGTTGGATGTTCAGTTTTTTATCATTTTTAAACTAAAAGTTTAAAAATACATTACACGGACAGGGCCATTTTATTTACACACAAAGCATTCTGGGTAAATGATGATGTGGATAGGTCCTCGGTGTGAGGCTGCTAGCGAGCTATATCCACCCTGAAGGTTAATCTTGGACAATATCTGATGATCAACTCTTTTAAACAAAACCAGAGAGCGTTGACAGAGAGGAGAAGGTAGAAATGACTCAGCCTGTAACTGAAAATATAGATTGTTGAGAATCTTTTGGTAGCACTGGGACAGACTGCACACAGAGGTCTGTTCTTATCAACACTAAATGGTGGAAAACAMTATTATGCATCTGGATAAAAATAAATGTCAAAAAGGAGGGCCAAAGAGGCAGTTAGAGAGAACATGAAGATAACTGGAGTGAGGACAGATGATGCAGAGGACAGAGTGAGAAGGAGGAGGATGACTCACTGTGGCGACTCCTMAACATGGACCGGCTGAAAGAAGAAGAAAGATGGAAATAAAGTTGTGACATGGCGCTATTAAAATCACACCACAGTGAACGCACGCCATGTTTAACTATAAAAGTCTTGTTAGCATGAGTGTGGTCAGTGATGGCTTTGCGAGCAGGCCTACAGCCTGCATCCGAAGTGAAAAARCAGCCCACGCAGACGTGGATGTCGTGCAGAAATGCATGTTGGTGTAGGACTGCCCTCTCCATTCACCCTCTTTTTTCTCTCTCCTTGGAGAGCAACGAGGACAGAATGATGGAAAGCAAAGATCAAGCACGCTTTCAAGTCCAACTCCATCCCATTATTTCACATCTCCCCTCCTTAATCCCTCGCCAGTCGTCTGGTTTCAATCCTGCCCCAGTGTTTAGTGCTTACAAAGCAGAACTGTGCCTGTGAGATTGAGTGTGCCCACCTCCCTGTACTTTGGTACCCTCAGATTTGCATACACATTGCCCGGGAGCCTTCAAAGATTGTAGAAATGCAGGAAAGAAATAGCTYTAAATGGGTTCAGGTGGATGAACTCTGTAGCCTTCTGAGATGCTCCCCCGCAGAGASCAATGCATCTGGAGTTTGGAGATTTTAATAGTGGCACAGTGGCATGCCCTCTGTGCCGTTTTGTTATGTGTGCGCAGCAGGAGAGCATCAAAGCTGGAGATGCTCTTAGGTGGAAAATGTACGGAAAAAAAACCACAGTTGGAACAAATGTCAAAATTTTAAATGAGGATTGCTTCTTGAAGAGCTTATTTTGTTTTGTTTTGTTGTATTTTTTTGCTGAGAAGAAATAAAATTTGTGTTTTTTGTGATTTCTTTGCAACTTTAATCCTAATAATAACGTTTTTGACAACGTGACTCCATCACTAATCTATACCTGCTAACAGTGACACTTCAAATAATTATGTACAGCTGTTAAATAAATTTAAAAATCATGAAATCATTGAAATTTTAATGTAGAGAAAAAAAATCACATTCTGTATTTCGTTCCCTTTTTTAACTGAATGACCTCATTTGAGGAGCAAAGGCCTGTTCCGACTATCTCTCATGTCTCGTTTAACCTTTAACCTTACCACTTACGTAATGTACCGATTTCTTCTCTGAACCATCATTTTTATTTGATGTTGTGAACTTTGGAAAGAAAAAAAATCCAATACTGAGTTGTGTTGTTGTAGGTTAACAAGATGGAGAGCGATGTGTGGTTGTGAAATGGCTTGTTCTGTCGTAGCCGTTTGGAAGGTTTCTGCTGCCACCAAGTGGAGTGTAAAAAAATAAAATAAAAAAAAAACGATAGAAAATAAAAAAGGGACATGTCCATTATGGTAATTGTTGTGCAAAAAGATGAAAGTTACACATTCAGAGAAAAAAAGAAAATAAGGAAACTATTATGTTTTAATGGTTGTCCTACACGTATTAATAAAATTAGCAAAAGTAACAACAAKAAAAAGTCAGTGAGAATTTAGAGATGTGATGCTTTGTCTAATGGTGCTGCAAATGCAAGTCAGAGTAGTGTGTTTTTATGGACCATTAACCCTGTTTACCTTAATGTTTCCTGCTTCTGTTCAACTATTTCTTTCATTCACTCTGTTTTCTTATTTCTCTTCTCTGATTCTGTTTATACCTATCATTAAACCTTCCTGTTGTGTGTGTGTGTGTGTGTGTGCGTGTGCGTGTGTGCGCGTGTGTGCGTGTTTGTATGCATGCCTGTTAACAACTGTTTGGACTGTCCCACAGGCAAAGGTCCAGAGACTATTTTTGCGGGTCAGAATCTGAACGATAATGAGTGGCATACCGTACGAGTGTTCAGGAGAGGCAAGAGTTTGAAACTGACGGTAGATGATCTACCGCCTGTGGAAGGTACTTCTCATTATTTCTCTCCTTGGACAAACTTTTTGCTGGGTTCTCCAAGTTTTTTTTTCTTTTTTGTAAAAGAAACTAACGTTTTAATAATGCATTACATGTTGAAAACATTTGTATTGTTTTTCACTGCTTTGATAAGAGTTAAGTTGGTGACTCAAAAAAAAAAAGCATTCATTCAAGTGATTTTTGGTCCTAGGGGAGTTTAAGGGCGTGTTCACACCTACAGTATTTAGTTTATTTAAACGGGGCTATGCTTTGTGTTCTCCCTTGGTGCAGTTTGTGTAGATTGGATCACATGGCACTCAGTTGCTGCTAAAACAAATGTAGGACCTTTTAGGGGAAGCGGTCTCAGTTTTATTCCAACCAAACTCCTGGGTGGTTCATTTAAACCATGTATATGATCTGACCTTTGTAAGACAACTACTTGTTGTTTGCTGCAAATTTAAACCAAACACTTGCAGGTAAATAGGCATGATTTGAATTCTGGGACACAGTAGAGTAAAAAACAAACATTAGTAAAAAGGACTGTTATGAACTTACCAAACAAGTCTTTAGTCAAATATGATGAACATGACTGTCGTACATTCTTTTTAGTTGTTCCTTTCTGATGATCAGTTTTCTAAAGGCTTTTTGAAAAGCATAAACCAGAAACTGTGTTCAAAGACCTGTTCTTAAAATCCATTCGGTAGGGGAGACTGGAGTAAGATGAGCCATCTTTCCACATTTAGGATCTCTACATTAAAGTGCCTGTGACATCAAATTTTAATWATAAATTTGAATTAATTTATGGAAAGACAAAACTGATAACATATTGCAAAACAAACGTCACGCCGCTGAGATGAACAGTTGTTGAGATATTTGCATGTAAAGCAACAGGAAGTGATGTCAAAGGGGAATGTCTGCCCYTGAGCAGAGCATTGATAAAATGTCTGACAACACAGAGTGTAGAGAAGAACCTGATGTTTCTTTAGATCATTTTGAGTCACCACTATCAGAGAGATGAAGAAGAGTCTATTAGAGTTAGAGGTTTTCTTTCTTGAAGATTCCCCTTTGATGTCACTTCCTGTTTCATTTTGGCTGAGCTAAATCCAAAGGAAAATAGGCTGGTTATGTGACAAAATGGGTAAAATCATCTGCATTATGCCAAGTTTCTTAAATATAATGATTTCTTCGACTTTTTTGAAAGATTTGCACGTCACAGGCTTTTTAAGGCAACCATAATTTGGTTGCTAATTTATATATCTGCATATATCTCAGGATATTGTGCATCTCTTCAAACAATCAAAATGAGTGTAAACATAATTGTTTCGATAACATAGCAAAAGTTGTTTCATGGCACAACTTACCTCATATGTGGGGTAAGTTGAGCCGTTTCCCTAAAACCCAGCCCTCTACACACACACCCCCCACCCTTCCCCCACGACTCGACTGCACAACTCACTCACCTTCCCTTCCTCAAATAAAAGTCACATTACCCCCATCAATTGTATTTTATTTGTTGTACACAATTCAACAGGTACAATAACTTTTTTCACTTTCAAGGGTGAAAATTGTCTTAACTAATTTAACCATGTGTTTCTTACATTCACAGACTCCATGAAATTGCCTTCCTCCTGCATGTCCTGAATATTTGTTTTACCAATAAGGGGTGACTCAACTTACCCCATTCTCCCCTGATCTGCTCCCAGATATTTACCTGAACAATGCCCAGGTTCTGTAAATACTGGTAATATCCATGTTGTTGATTAGCTGAGGACACTGCAATGTCTTTGTGTTTTAATATCCCTGCTTCAGACACATCGGACCAATAAGCAAACTGAATATTCTCTCATGGTTTTTAGTGACATGTTTTTGTTTGTTTGGAGCTTACTTGCAATTGTCTTTTGTGAGAAAAGACACAAAAAAGTACTGAGCCTGCGAGGGGACATGGGGGATTTTTTTTCTTTTTGCGTTCCCACGTAAAAGTATTGCGTTACCTCTCAATACCTTTTGCGTTCCCTCGCAAAAGTCGTTAAACACTGTTGTGCCTGCCGGTTTATTAATAAYCTCACATGTTCACCATTAGCGAGTTAGCCTACTGCTTTAATTCAGCTTCAGAATGAATATATCACACAACCACACATGGAAGTATGTCATATGGCGATATTTTAACACGGTGCAGCCACGCAACATCAATGTCAATTTCACGAACTTGTGGCGAGACATCCTGTTTTGGTAACCGGATATTTCAAAATAAAAGTCTGATTTAATTCAGTTCATATACAAATTAAACTTTTGCATGGGAATACAAAACAAAATTGCAAGGTAAAGTAAAAGTGTTTCGAGGTAACGCAAAAGTATTGCGAGGGAACGTAAAGGTATTGCGTGGGAACGCAAAAGAAAAAAATCCCCCATGACCCCTCGCGGGCTCCGTAAAAAAGAATACACGTAAAAAATAAAAAAAAAACACACACACACACAAAAACCTACAAGTTTTCAAACTCAAACTATTATAGGGTCAGAATAAAAGAAGTACAGGTGTGGAAATGTTCTTAAATTCAGAATGTGATTTATATCTGATCCATGTTTAATCATGAACTATGTAATACAATAAAGACATTTGACACTTATTTCTAATCTTTCATTTACAGCAGGCCTAACCAAATGTTTCTGATTCTTATGAAGCACAACCTTAAAGAAGCTTTTATGCCAGATGTTGTTTTGAAAGAGATTTCTTATTGTTATGGCACCACTGAGAATTTTCAGAGAATTTCCTCTTAATCTATCATTTACTCTCAGATAACCTCCTCTGTCCCTCCTCCCCTTTCTGGATCAAAGGTCAAATGGCAGGTGACCACACCCAGCTGGAGTTTCACAACATCGAGACGGGCATTGTGACGGAGAAGCGCTTCATGTCCATGGTGCCCTCCAACTTCATCGGCCACCTCCAGAGCCTCTCCTTCAACGGCATGGCCTACATAGACCTCTGCAAAAARGGGGACATTGATTACTGTGAGCTCAATGCCATGATTGGCTTCAAGAGCATCATCGCCGACCCAGTCACCTTCAAGTCCCGCTCCAGTTACGTGACCCTCACCACCCTGCAGGCCTACTACTCCATGCACCTTTTCTTTCAGTTCAAAACCACCTCCCCGGATGGCCTCATCCTGTACAACAGCGGCGATGGGAATGACTTCATTGTGGTGGAGCTGGTTAAAGGGTTAGTGGATACATGTCGTGTTTAACTCAGAAAACTCAGTCTTTTTTTCCCCATTTTTTCAATTTCAGTCTAATTAGGCACTTGAAGTGCTTAAAGAGAGGTTTTTAAAAGATTATGTCATCTTTTTTTGTTATTTCAGGATCTTGACTGCAGTTTTGTTTCAATTCTCTCATGCTTGTATTAGTAACAAGGCCTTAGCACTTTGGTTTAGTTTGATCTAAGTGACAATTGTGATTCAAATTTATTGCACAATCACTTCACAAGTTTAAGTTCACCGACTATAACAGYCCAAATATGTACTGTACTGAATTATCTTCATAATAGTGTTGATTTATTCAAAAATCTCCACATAAATAAGTTAAATTCTTAATGAAGCAATTCATCATTCATTTGACAGTTTTCAAGCTGCATATACTTTTGGGGACTTCCATTTATTTTCTTATCACCTCTGTGCCAGAATACTTGCTAAAAAGAGCTGCCAGCTATCTCTGTTTCATTTTCATGAAGGCGCAGTAAATACCCAACATGAAAGAGAATCAGKTACATAGGAGCAGTTTTCTTCCTGCTGAAATTTGGATAAAAAATCAGCAGTGCCTGAAGTTAGACAATCTGGTGTCTTAAACATTTAAGTTCTGCATTTTAATTAATGAGCATACAAATAAAAGATTGCCCATAACCCAAAAAAAAAAAAAACTATTAAAAAGTGTTATCGGTTCTGCTACCTGCCAGTAATATGACTTAGCAGACAGCTGTTCTTACAGATACTGGCCTTTTATAAACACAGGATCATACATAAGCAAAAACTACACACATGTTCTCATGCTTCAGATGATGCTTAAACAGAACTTTTAAAAATGTATAAAATGGTGGTTGTATAAAAATAATCATTCTCATGGCAACAAATTAGTATATATTTTTTATTTTTTAGCCCCCATCAGGTTCACTTTAATTTGTCAGCAGTTTACTAAACATACATTCGTCAGTAACTGTTCATAATTTATAGTTTCCATTAAAGTACCGTAATAAAAAAGTCAGAATCAGTAAAATTCAAGACAACTGCCATTAATTCTGACATGAGTAATATTATTGTGGCAGTATCCAATATGGTCACAAGGTCACCACAGCTAACTGATCTCAGCAAACACAAAACTTAGGGTTTTCTTTTTTTGTTTTGTTTTTACAGATTTTCTGTCTATATTTTTATTTTATACTTTTTATATTAAACAAGATTTATTTATAAATACCAGACTGCCCATATTTCATACTGTACATTTTTCCTAAAGCTTTTATTTTATTGTATTTTATTTTATTTTATTAATCAAGAGTATTGATCATTCTATTATTATTGTTGTTGTTGTTGTTGTTGTTGTTGTTGTTGTTGTTGTTGTTGTTGTTGTTGTTGTTGTTGTAATTATTATTTATTTATTTGTTTATTTGTTTATTTTACATTTACTTGAATGGGCTGTATTAACAGTAACTTCCCTCTGGGATCGATAAAGTTTTTATAAACTGGAGTAATGAAGCCGAGTCATTCGRAACACACAGCATTTGCACTAATGAGATCTTTGTTTATACCTCTCACATTATTTTAATAAAACTGTCACAACATAATCATTAGATGCAAATCCAAAACTGAAAATCTCATGCAAAATCCTCATTTTTAAAGCTTTAAAGCAATATGCATTGCTTCAAGAAATCTAGTATGTATTATGAAGTATTAACCAACGACTAAATTTTTATTTTTCCCYTTTTTGTTGGATATTTCCACGCTGTCAAGTCATACTGTTCCCTGTCTGTTTCCAGTTACCTTCATTATGTGTCTGACCTGGGGAATGGAGCCCACCTGATCAAAGGCAACTCAAATAAACCTCTCAGTGACAACCAGTGGCACAGTGTCATCATCTCCCGGGACACCAACAATCTCCACACAGTCAAGATTGACACCAAGGTCACTACGCAGACAACCACAGGAGCCAAAAACCTGGACCTGAAAGGTCTGTATYTGAACAGAATTAACATACGGCGTGTGCGTTTTAAAGATCTCTTTTAAGCAGGCTGTGATTAAAATGTTGTACCAACAAGGAAAAAAAAACACTGCAGAGGAGGAGGACTGATATAAATGTTTAGCTCTCATTCATTACCCGCGTTTAGGAAACCTTGAGCCAGAATTCATTTGCTTTTACCAAAACTAATGATGTTCATGTGTAGCAGGGAGTTTAAAGAAAAGATAATTTATGCTTTGCAGAGAAACCTTGGATCACATTTCTTTGAATTAACTTACAGTTAACAACATAAAAAGCTTTTTTATTCAAAGTAAATTGGTGTAATTAGTGCTCCACTTTGAAAAATAGTTTTTTTTTTCTGTTTAAAACACATGAATGAGACAGAAAAAAATGCTTGGGAAATTTCTGACATTGGCGTGAAAAAAAAAAGGCGAATTAATTCAACACAATTTGAAAGGTCTCCTAGGCAAGGCTGGCGTTAATTAAGCTTTCGCTTTACTGTGTAAAGCTCATTACTGTAACAAACAGAAGAGTGGAAGATTGGTAATGTCTTTTCTTACCACTAGAGGTCAGTGTCGTCACGTTTCTGTCTGTCTCCACAGGTAATCTTTATGTCGGCGGGGTGGCTAAAGAAATGTATAAGGAGCTGCCCAGACTGGTGCATGCCAAAGAGGGCTTTCAAGGTTGCCTGGCGTCGGTGGATTTGAACGGCCGCCTCCCGGACTTGATGTCAGACGCTCTGGACTGTGTGGGTCAGATAGAGCGAGGATGTGAAGGTGAGCGCGCTTTGATCCTGCACAGGACCATGAGTCTGTCGGACTAATAAAACTACAAAAAAAAAAAGTTCCTCGTAAATATTTTGACACAATATTCCCCCTCTAAAAGGATCTCAAAATATCAGGGAAACACTGACACACAGTGAGTCGCAGACACACACTGATAACCTGTGGCGTGTAATTTGACATCCATAAAGTCTGTTAGTTTTCTGTTWGAATGCATCAAGCTCCAGCACTCTTCCACAGGCTATCATTTCTGTTTCACTTGGCTTTAATCTGATTATTCTCTTTGCCATATTTGTACTGCCAGTGTTACTTCCCATTTTATCCCGATTCTGTTTTACACTGTGCATGCGTACCGCATCTAAGGTTTCGCCCAAAGCGTTTCTTTTGAATTATGCATGAAGCCTTTGTTGCATGCATGAATATCATTTCCCCAGTCTAATATGTGCACCATACTCAAAGACAATATTTGATTTCTTTTTTTTTTTTTTTGCCTTTCACTTTCATTCAGTTAGTCTAATTTCACAATTCATCCACTTTCTTACTATTGTTTCTTACTATTATTATTATTCATGTTCCAGCCGAACAAATCAAATCCAATTCAGTGTTCAGGTCATTGCATTCAATTTACAAATATCTCTTTGTGCCACATAGACTCAACAGCTGCATGTAACACGTTTATTGAATTGTAATGATAGTTGTTAGGTTGCAAAAACAGACACGTCTCTGAATTTTACAGAATATAACTAAAACACTTACTGTTTTAGCTTGATTTTACCTCATTTTGTTTATTAATAAAGTAGCTGCATTTAGAGTTTGAGTCAGTGTAAAACAGCCATCATTACCCAGAATAATGCTTCCCTTCTGGCTCATTCCAGGACAAACATTCGTCCCTCTTCCTCTCCTGCCCCTGCAGTCTGTGTTTCTGTTTCTGACACGTTGGTGCCTTTACTAACCAGCTGGTATACTTTTCCTTTTCCTATTATTTTTGCTGGCAAAAGTTGCATTGATGAAAGCTGACTTGCAAGGTAGAAAGCTTTGTTTGATACAAAGTCTGATACCCCTCCTCCCCCCCGTTTGCATCTGCAGTATCTCTGCCCTCCACAGTCTTTATTTTCACACCACTGGGTTTACACCTTCTGTCACAAAATGACTGGTTRATCATTCACCCTCCTGCCATCAAGAATGGCCCGAGTCTCATTGAAATACAAGACTCTTCGTCTTGTATCAGCTGTTATGGGGCTCATGTTTAGATTTCATGTCACCTGTTCTCTGTGGTTTTAGCCGCACTTTGTAATACTATTTATGGAATATTTGAGATTTTTATTTTTATGTATTTGTTGTATTTATCTGTTTGTTTTTTTGCATGAGTCAGCAGTCTCAACTAAAACGTTATATGCATGGATTTATTTTCAACAATATTCATGTTAAAAATATTTAAAAGTTATTTAATTGATTTAATAAATCACAGAAGCATTTTGTTACAATTAAATATTATTTCTAGATTTTTGGCTTTTGAACAGATGGATTCAGTTTTTCACACTGCAAAAATTAGCCATCTAAAATTAAGTTAAAAAGTAACAGATTATAGTCTGAATCTTCTCAGATTAAGTGAAATAATCTGCCAGTGCAGTAAAACAGTAGCATTAACAAGGCTAACAAGATAAATATTCTAACATATTCTGCTCTTAGTATATCAGCCTCAAAACYAGATCAGAAGTTTATGTCTTGATGTAAGATTGTAAAACTTGGTTAACTGGACAGTTTTTGTTGTGCAAAATACAGCTTATCTGAAAAACATCTAAGAAAAAAATGACGTACATGCAAAAATTACATATACATTTTGTTCCTAATTAATGTAATGTGATCCAAGCAGTACGTTAATATTTGCAAATAATATATTTTAGAGTTACTTTATTCTATTCCATGTAAACCACTCAAAAATAAATTAATTTGTGTGAAATTGAGTGATTAATTTGGACCCGAACCTGTTGAAGTTGGCAGATGATTTTTTGAGTCATGTAAGTCGGACAGGTGGGTGTGAGCAGATTATGAACTGTGGGAAACGTTGAAGTGTTTGCTGAACGCAGGGTCTCCCAGCAGAACCTTTGAACCCAGTGATGTTCTTGACTTCATCTATGACTGATGTTTACTGATGAGGCTGGTCTGTGTTCACATTAAAACATCACACCGATGAAAACATAAAAAAAATCTCAGCATGTCTAGTATTATTGCCTTAGTTTACAATACATTTATGAATATGGTGGGATTTGTTATTATTTTTAGTTAGGAAGCACAATATTTCTGCATTATCATCAGTATCAGCTGATATTGGTCAATTTTTTAGAATGTTTTGCTTTGGTTCAATAAATAAAACTGGGTTGACATTTAACATCTGATATTGATTTCACACTTTTTTAGCTTTGTGTTCCTGTTTTGGGAGGGGAAATGGTTGGTCGAGGTCTCTGTTTGATCACGATAGTTTTAGTGATGCTGCTCAGCCAGGAATAACTGAAGTAGAGAACCATGTCAGCGGTCTGG